CCATTAACAGAGAGCTCACAAAAACCCTAATTTTTTTTTCCCGACCCCAAAAAGAGGAATTACGCGAGAAATGCAACAAACAAATCAGTGAAAAATAAGAAATAGTAGAAAAATAACGCGCAAAGACTTTCGAATTTTAATTTCCGATGATGATAACGAAATTTACATTATTATTATTATAAAGAGGAAAAAAATGAAAGTAAAGTATCTGAAAATGGAGATGGAGACTGGAGAAGAATTAATTATAGAAAAAACTTTGAAATTGAAGAAACTGATGAGAGGATAGTGATAAGAACTGGGGAAATAACAAAAAACGACGTCGTTTAAAACAGTCCTCAAAACGGCTTTTTGCTTAATGGATAATGGGATGGGCCGTTGATTAGTCCAATCATGTGATAACTTTGTGTACTAATGTAATCATCGACCAAACAAGAACCTAAATAAAAATGGGAAGCAGCATATCCAAAATTAAACAATAATTTTGGTAACTTGAAAGTGAATTCTATCAAAAATCATTTGAGATTCGAAAGTCTTTGATTCGGAACTAACCTTTGTTGATATATAATATATTCTTCAAATGTAGTATATAGGATTCAAACTTAAGTCTTTTAGGGCTGAATTAGCACTCTTCTAATTGGTTGAGCCAATCGCACTAGAATGGTTACGATATAATGAAAGTCGAGGTCAATTGTTTTGCATCCTGATAGATTCTCCAATACTTTTTTTTTTTTTGGTCACAAGAAGTTTTCATAGATTGTTTATTATTTATCAAAAGAGAAATTGCTTATATAACATGAAAATAAACCCATCAAAACCAACAAAAACAATGCTACGAAAGTAAAGCGTAAATCATATAGAAAATGAACATATGCGAACCAAATGCTTAAATAACTAATGTCGTAGACGCAATTGTTGCTGAAAGGAAAAAAAGACGCCTTCGAAAACAAAGAACACATTTAGTTATTTAATGTTCGAAATTGAAACTACAAATAATACATAATAAACAATCTTGATTTTGACTACAAACGCAGAGATACATTGATTTGTTGAGCCTTTGATTGATCAAAATATTTAGATTGAATTTCACATTTTACCAATAAAAACAAAAATTAGATTGATCTGTAATTTATTTTCGGTTGGAATTAAAATAACTAGAATATGATAGAAGCACATTCGTGGATAATCATGTAAATCTAAATTTCTTCGTGTATAGGTTGTTTAGAATCTAAATTTCATCATATAAGGTTGTATAAGGTTGTGATTATTTAATATTTTTTTGATTATATTAAACATTGAGCCTATTTTAATTTCTTCGTGAGGAGAACCACACTATTATTATGAATGAGCACTTTATATTCATCAACTTGCCATCAACGGACTAATTTTCATCGTTGACCAAATTTTTACACCATAATTTTTTTGTTCCACATGGGAATTAGAATTGGAAGAGATGAATGCATCTTGATGAATTCTCTACTTTAGTATTAGATATGATCTGATAGTACAATTCATTCGCTTTGATTTTCGAAAATGCATGAAAAGTGCAAATGAGACGTATTACTTATTAGTTACATTTGAAGGAATATCATGTGAAGAAAATGACTTAGAATTATTGAGAGATGAAGCAATGGATAAAATACTTGGATTTTTAAATGAAGTTGTTGATTTAGAAGACTACATCGAGGGTGTGAGAATGATGTGGAGAATCTCCTAGGTTTGTATATGATAAAAAATTTCTCTTTTTTCTCTTCCCATCTAGTCAAGGAAGATTTTCTCCAGGTATACGACATATTTATTGAGAAATTACTCCAGAAGCAAACTTATTGCAAGATATGTATATTCTTTTCGATTTCTTTCCATATTCTCTTGATTTTGAGTTTTTGGTTACAAAATAATCTCATAATCTTTTATTTGTTTCCAGTTTTGAGTTATTGTGAAAATAATGTGGAAACTTGCACTTTATAAACTTGATTTTGGAATGTAATTGATTTAAATTGACTTAACACACAAATGACAGA